ACTGCCAAAACAAAAACGAAAAATAAACAGGACCAAACAGCAACCTTTCGTTGAAGTTTACTTATACACTATGCAATTAGGGAACATTTTTGGTGAAGCATTCAGTCGTTAATCAAGAGCACTGACTGAGTGAAATTGCTGAGGCTCTGTAAAAGGAGCGTCCGTGGGGCGGAGGGTTTGGCTGTGACGAGCGCTGAAGAGCGTCATTTCTCTTTAGTCCAACAACATTGGCGAAAATGCCGGGGGTGGGGTGGAGTACATATCCCCCTAACTTTTTGATAACCATCCCCCACTTTTTCCGGGGAGGGAAAACAATCAAAGTGTATTGCGAAGAATTTTTCTGACTTCCCAACACCCAAACTGTATTCAGTAGCACTCAAAAATGGGAGACAAGCTATCAATATGCCGGCACAAATGACTTTCCGGCACAAAATTAACGCCTCAACAACAAAGTTGGGGCAGTACATCTTGGTCAACACCGCATCAGCGCTAGCTATAAAAACAGAGCGGGGCGCTGCAATGCACGCTCACACAATAAACATAATGGAAAATACGTGGATGCGGTGGATTACCTGGTGGGCAGAAAAGGCTCTGCCAGCTTAAGCAATTCAAACCCTTCAAGTACCGCACGCGGAGAACGTGCGTGACGTGTGGTACGTGCTCGCAAAAACACAAGCGACACAAATCATCCATCTCCAGAATCCAATTCTCCTCCGAAAAGTTGCCGACCCCAGGCATGATTCTATCCTTTTTTTTGTTGGGGGGGAGGGCACCTTCCTTAAATCTTGCAAAGTACATCTGTCACCGTGAGCGCGTATTTTCGTGAGCGAATTTACAATAAACTGTGACAAGCGTAATCGCTAGCTTTACGCCACTAATCGATATCGAAGACCCAAACCGGGTATAAACCCCGCGCCCCCTCCGCGAAAAAAAGAGAGAAAATCGTTTAGAAACGATTTGTCTCCAAATCTACCGCACAGGAGATTTATCCACAAGGGAATCCTTTCAGAAATGAATAAAATACACATACACCCGAGCAGAGTGCCTGCGTCCTACGATGCTCACTACAAGGCCGTTCTCTTTTGTCACATCTACTGGTGATGGACAGGCAAATAGCTCCCACGGACCCATGGGTCTCGGGCCGGTGAAAAACCCCATCGAATATGGGCTGTAATTACGTCTGCTCTGCCATTCACCGGCGGCAATTACGGGCCGCTTCTTCACAATCGAGGCCAATGGTCGGCGACAATGGGCAATTTATAATGGGAGTTATCAGTTGTACCATTCACGGCCGGCTCATTGTACCCAGTTCGGGTGGGTTGGTGCGCCCTTGCCGGGTGGGGGCGGGACGGAGCGGAGCGCCCTTGCCAAAAAAATAAATAAATAAATAAATAAATAACAAGTTGACGGGGTCAGTTGGGTAAACAAGCTGAAAAAGAAAACAATTTCAGCTGCCCCATTTGATACGGCTCATAAAATATCCTGCAATACTTGGCGATTTCACAACAACGACGGACAGTGGCAATAAATATTACTGAGTAACACACCAGTATGTCTGAACACCACTGATTTATAACACGTGGAAACGTTAGATTCAACACACACACACTTCTCTTTATAAACCTTATACAATTTTTCCAAGCATTTCATTACCAGTTTCCGTAAAAAAAATGGTAGTTCATTTTTTACAAAATGCAGTACATGTACTATACACACAACTTACAACGTACATTACATTTTTGAGGACGGAATGGAATGTTCACCCTTTCACTAATGCTCAGCTGACTGAAGCTCGTTATCAAAATATCTGTTCCCTTTCTCCAATCTGTTCCCGCAGTATAATATTTGGGCCAGATTCCCAGTTCTCTAACCTTCAACCCATGGCCCCCTCGTTAAATATTTGAAACTCTTTTCTAAATATCCCTTGGAGTCAACATTTCTGCCACTAGCCCCCTTCCCCGACGATTTGACGCCACTCCTAATTCTCTGGAGGGCGCCTCATTGTAACTGCTGGTTTACACCCTATTGATGCCATGCTAACCTCCAAAAAGCCAGTTGCTCTGAAAGTGCCACTCGACGTAATATTACGATGCGGGTCAAGGTACAAGTTTATGATGAACCCATTCTATTGCTAGTCCATATAAGCCTCAACAGGGCTTTGTCCTTGTCACCGACAATGACTGGATTACAACACCAACATCTATGGGCGAGGGACACCATTGCTAGAAAGTGGCTTCCTTGGGAATTCGTATTACTTTCAGCCACGGTTACAACTTTCTGATGTGGCCTCGGCCATCCTGATGGGGCCTCGGGCATCCTGATGTGTCCTCGGTAATCCTTGAGAGGTTTGAGAACAGCGAGAGGATTGCTGTCTTTATGACCTTCAAGAATGAGGATCAACTGAAGTTGAATATTCACATGCAACCTGACTGGCAGTGAAAGCTACCAGTAAGTTCACTTCAGGGCTTGGCATTATGGATTACAGAGAAAAGTCTGGCTAACAGAAACAAAAATGCGATTTCAGAACCTCTGAAAGGCAATGCTTGCTCTCACACTCACGTATGACAGATGACCAGTCTACTATTCTTCCAGACTATCTCCTTCCGCGTCTCCTCCGGCCGAGTTCATCCTCATGAAGCTGGACTGGGTTTCGAGCTCGTCCGACATGCCCGTCATGTCGTAGCGGAGGTTCCCCTCGATGCGCCTCATGCTGCGATTCTGGGCTCTCCTACCGGAGGGAGAAAAACCGACCCGACACGTCACCCTGAGATGCCGAAGCTCGGGTTTGCAAAGTAAGCTTGCCAGTGACAAAAAATTACAAGCTATTATAGAAATTACTTCAAAGAGACATGCTGCACATTTTAAAAGTTAACCATTCAACTTGATTTAAAACTCTGCCAACAGAGAAAAATGGCATCAGAAAATTTGGAGGTCAAATTCAACTGTCATACCTTGTGAGGTTTCTAGAATTAATTCGGTAATCATGAAAAACCCACTAATTCAGTAAAACCGAAAAAGGGGGGGGGGTCGAGTAAAGAACAGTTGTGTCAGTAAAAGTCTGAAGTCAGCTTTGGAGAACACGTTTTATATTATACTGAGGGGGTACCTCCAGACAACTTCAAGAACCTGCCTTCAAAGCACACACAGGCAGAACATCCTTTTTCAGTGTCACAAATGAAGAGATTACCAAGAAACATCCCTTGGGAAAAATGCAAATATCCCCTTTTGTATGTTAGTATTTCTTGCTTTGCTTATAGAAGTGGCACTAGGCACCCCCCCCCACTGTGAACAGAGACGAGGACTCGCAAGTGGGTACCCACCTGTCGATATTCTTGGCCAGATTTCGCAGCTTGGCCGCCGTCATGATGTCGTCCGTCTCGTCGCTCTTCTGACCGCTGGGTCCTTCTGAGATCGTGGCTGCAAACCAAAAAGCACAAAAAATGACTCGGAAAAGAGGGGGGAAATGGAAAATTAGATGAACCAGAAACACTGGAATGCCCACTCTGCTGCGACTTCTCCCCGCGTGCAGTCTTGAGAAAGGATTCTCAAAGGGATAGATAATCCTACATTTCCATTTCTTCTTCGGGAATGCTGTTTGTGCTTTTTACTTCCGAGAACAGTTGTTAATAAGACGGGATATTGGCTCCAATGTAATCTTTGCTTTGACATGACTTATAAGGTCTTCACAACGGGGTATAGTTCTAGAGGCGTAATTTCAGGAAGCTGGAAGACACTTCCTTGTACTTTGCAGAGAAGGGTGCACATCAAAGTGAACGGTCGGTGACAAATGGGCAAATTCTAATGAGACATGCCATTTCTCACTGGTTGTCAAAAATGTCAAGTTTTAAAAACATCCGGGCATGTAAAACGTTTACAATCCAGGTACCCTCTAATAAAAAGAAAAAACACGCCCAAAATAAACGATTTCTTCAATTTCTTTCCAAGATCTGAGGCTTTGCTTGTTTTCTGTCTGATGGACCGAAAGCAGTTACAGAAGGGCACGGTTGCTATGATACAAAATGCCATGAGCTGACAAAAACCCGCTGTAATGAGAGTAAAAAAAATGCAAAGTGAACACAAAGATACGTAACACGCTTTGAACAAGGTGAACGTTTTAAAAGCGGGAACATTGCATTTATTTGACTACACGCAGTTCTACACATGCAGATAAAATCTGAAAAGTGTGGAAATCTTAAACCAATCATTCCCTGAGGCCATTTTAAAGGCAAAAATATCTTTAAATTAGCAGTTAATAATTAGTTCTAATGTCAGTTTGAAACTGACTTCCTCCAATGATCTCTTATTTTTACACTGCCGGACCAATGGGAGACTTTGAGACGCAAGGTGGCGGCAGACAAACCGGTCCTTTTCCGCGGTTCTGAGCGTGCTCAGAACTAACGCGTATGCCCAGAACTAACGCGCATGCCAAGAACTGCACGCGCATGCCCACATCAACCAACAAGGACCGTTGGGTCTGCCGCCACCAAGCGTCTCAAAGTCTCCCATTCACAGTCTGTGAGTTTGTCGGCCCATAATACAGAAGTTAATGCTGGTCTTAAAAATTAACCCATACATCAAAACACGCAAGTTTACAGAGCTTTCCAATTGTGACAGAAAATTATCTCATCATTACCCAATCTTTAATTCCCAAGCCGCTAGGACGGCAACATTTAATTGCGCAAAGTAATAAACTGTCTGCTGGACGTTTACTGGCATTTTAGACAGCACCCTTCAAGCAGAAATTCTTTGATAAAGCAGCAAAATTTTCATGCTAAATTCAATTTCAAAAATTGAAATACGTTCTTCTTAGCAACTGTCGACACTCTGAATTAAACTAAACTAAAAAGGACCACTTTTTACTTTTCAAAGTCAAACATTTTACAGTGCACTTTTCATTTCTATTTACAACATGTAAATTAGACACTGACACTATGGGCGTCACCAGCAATATTTTTTTTGGGGGGGGGGTTAACGAACTCATTAGCTAAGATATGATGAACATTTATTGGCTAGAAGGAGTCAATTTGGAGATTTTTGTCGAGCAAACTGGTGATTTTCAACCCCTTCCATCTCTTTTCTTTTGCATTTGTTTCGCTTTCCCCTTTTTTGACTTTTTTGTTTTTCAATTTTTTATGGGGGAAGGGGTCAAGTACCCCTTTGCTCCCCACACAACTCCCAGGACTGACACCTCTTTTATAACACACAGAGATGTGTTATAAAATTTAATGGCATAACACTCTTAACGCTTCAGTTTCTGCGCGACGGCTGTCCATGTGCTGCGCAGAACTTTCCTATGCTCCGCCTGCATGAAGGTCAAGAAAAGGGTGCCGTACATCAGTTGCAGGTACGCCAGCAGCATCGTCACCACCACAAAATTCAACGCCAAGCTCAGCTCAACTTGTAAACAGTACAGGAGATTGAACCCGATCGCATACGGGATCCAGACCAGGTTGAAGGACCCCAGGTAGAAGATGTACCCCTTGGTCGTGCTGAAGCCCCGCCTTAGCTGCCGGACTCCGTTCTTGCCAGCATTGGGCAGCATGTTGCGCTCATGTTGTATCTTACGCTGCTGCTGTCTAGCAATGCGCAACAAACTTACCACAAACCCGGTAATAACCAACACACCAAGACACACTATTACGGTAAAGAAAAGGGTAAAGATGCGATAGGGAGGAGTCTGTCTCAAGGACTCGAAATCGGCCGTGTTTGTGAACTGTAATTTACTTCCGAAAGACACTCCAAAACCAGCCGAAACAACCAAGGACGACACCCAGCAACTACCAATGAGAAGGCCGCAAGCCTTATTCGTCATTAAGTCTAGGTACCTCAAAGGATACGCGACCTTGACATAGCGGTCACCGGCGACAATCGCACAACTGCACACGAACGAAACGGTCACAGAAATCACGGCAACATAAACTAAGCTGGTTGTCTGTGAAGGTGTGGTGACAGAGTCGTCATAGGCACGTACAGTGGGAAGTAACTGCGGAATTATTAAGACAGCGCTCAACGCACTTGACATCGCTATTGAAGCACACAGATTGGCGAGGAAGTAATTGGAGGCGCTGTGCAGGGCACTGTTGAAAACCACCGAGAAAATTATATACAGGTGGATCACGAGACTGATAACAGCGCAAGGTATAATGGTAACCAGCAGTCCATACGCAACAGGACTGCTTCCTGGATAGTGATCTGTATCTGGTGAACCACTTGTGTTACTTTCCATAGTAAGAATATATACTACCAGAAAAATCTCTCAACTGGTGCTACTAATGCTCAGAATTTGATTTCTACCAATTACATAGAAAATTAAGGGTACTGGTATAAGAATGTTAGGATGGCAGAATGGTAGATCTCGGCAAAATTATGCTTTCGTAAAATTCCCAACTTAATGCACTTACAAGTGACCTTTGGTACAGTCATAGCAGAAGTAAGGAAACAGTTCCGACGTTTGTGTTGGAAACTATGATTAAATCTCAAACGGCTCTATGATACAATTCATAAATGTCTGTCGGTTACAAAGTCAGCTGGTCATGCCGAAACATCGGTTGGAGCGTTTGGTGCCATTCCTCCGAGTCAGTCTCCAATACCCTTGCGAGAGGAAAGATCGTTCCCAGTAGCGACGTTGACAGTTGCACGGAAAATTGTGGGAAGCTGCACAGAAACGGTACGGCTTAGTCTTGGCTTCAAGCCCATCAGCTGGTCTTTCTCCGTCCATCTATCATGTCCTCAACTTATGTCTGCCACGAGGAAGATTTTGTAGTCCATGGCTCCCGGAAATGAGTATATGGAAATCCACGCAGGGAGACGTGAGACGATTCTGGAACAAGTCAACTTAATTGTGGCCAGTCCCCGATAGATGCGAGTGAAAATGTAGCCGACAGGTTTTGACTATGCAATGTGGTGCTTGCATATTTACCATGAGGGAGAGCTGATGAAGGAGAAAGTGTGCCGGAATCGCTTAAGAAAACACACAGAATGCAAGCAGGCGGCGTGTCGGTCCAACACAGGACAGTTGTCTGTAAAGCCAAATGGCCGATTGCCCCAGCTGACAGAAAAATGGTGCAAAGTCGTCTGATGTCTTGGTGACTTATCTGTCCATCAGACTTTTCTCTGACCCGAGCTACGTTTCCTTGCACTTGCAGTAAAAAATCTCAAAAGAACTAACCGCAAAGGGGATTCATCCATCAATGACTTCACCACACAATGCACCTGTGTGGCGTCCAGTGCACCTTGGTCTGTGCTACTAAATTCTGCGTATTTCAGGCACTAAATTGACAAGCAACACAGAAAATTACGGCGGAAGAATATAAGGTTTGGTGATCTACTCTTTCTGACACTGACCATGATCTAGATTTAATCACCCTCGCTGCATCCTCCCAACTCTCAATTCTGTTAGTTGATGGATGGTGCTCCATTATCTCAAACCGCTAATATTGGTCCCAGTTTATTATGCGTATCACAGAGCCCACGTTGGCTGCAATATTTACTCACACAGTGCCTCCTTTTCAACTGACAAGGACAGCGAGTAAAGTCAGCCGTAAATACATCTCATCAGTTCCAAAATGGCAGGCGGGTTATTAGCCCGCTAGCGCCTCTGTAATGTCGGGATAATTGCGTGGAACACGCAATTTCATGTGCGTCGTTCAATGTCAGATACAAGTACACGTACACGACAAAAAAAATCCCCGTCATCTGATTGGCTAGTCGTCGATGTCAAAACAGTGTATGGGCATTTGATCTTTGCCCAACCTTGGTTAAAGTTTCCACATTGTCAGTGAATTTCCATCACTGTTGGTCAAACACTGACCAACGATTGGTAAAAATTTGCCCAAGGTTGGGAAGTTGATATTAACACCAACATTGGGCAAAATATCAACCCAAATGTGACCAACCTTTTTAGAGCGTAACAACCTGTACTTCAATACTGAGGTCTGATTTACCGGGGATGGTTTCGAAAACTCCATCCACCATGAAACTGTGAAAAGAGAATGACATCACACAGAGCGGTTAGTCCAACATTTGTAAATTAACTGTGTGTGCGTTATCATTGTCAAGGCGGTTTAGATATTTTGACAATCCTGTGGGCACTGTCTGTTGCTTTCTGATAACTTTCAGCTCAAGCTGTGCCTTGAAACTCAAATTTGTCATTCTCTCACGTGCACTGCAAACACTCTTACGTGTACATCAGACTGAGTCTAGTCCTCTGATAACACCATAAGATGACTACATCAGACTGGGTGAAGTCCTCTGATAACACATTCTGAGGACTACATCAGCCTGAGTGTAGTCCTCTGATAACACCGAGGGTGTTGAAGTAACACCAGTGTATTGACACCAGAGTTTTGGCAGTGTGGGCAATTGAGGCATATTCTTTCCACCAACAATTGTGCCTTGACTTTGAGGTCTCAACTAAGGGCAAATTTGAAAACGCCGTTCACAACGGTGACTGTAATCTATGATGACCTCAACAATATTACTTAATGGAAAGATGACTAAGTGCCATATTTGGAGCAGATAGTGCACTATATACAGCCGACACGTGTTCTTGCATTTACAGAGCAAAAAGCATTAAAGGTAAAACATGGCATGCCAAATACATCTGCTTTCATTTTTCAGAACTTTGATGACTTAAGGAAAATGATATACGTCACACAGTTCACGCACTGGTTACATGTTATACACACTGAAGTTTTTGTCGAACCACGTGCCACGCGCTGCGCAGAACTCTCCTGTGTTCCTCCTGCATGAACGCCAGGAAAACTGTGGCGTACATCAACTGGACGAACGAGACCAAGTAAAAGACGTTCGCAATGTCTCCAGCTATGCTTTGGTCAAGGCCATCGACAAACAGAGTGAGATCGAACGCTACGACGAAGGGGATCCAGCAAAGACTGTAGGACCCCAGGTAAAATACATATCTCATGGTTTTACTGGAGTCCCTGCCCAGCTGTGGGATTCGGTTGTCCCCGACGTGGGGCAGCATGTTACGCTCGGTTTGTATTTTGCGTCGCTGCTTTCTGGCGATGCGTAACAGACCCAACATGAACCCATTGATAATGAGGAGAGAGAGAAGCACCGATGTAGTGAACACTACAGCAAACAGTCGAAACGGAGGATTTGATCTTAGGTCTTCAAAATATGTCGAAGTAACATTAGTGGAATCAGACTTCACTGTAAAAGATGCAGTAAAACCCGAAGAAACAATCATCGACAATAGCCAGCTTACACTTATGAGGATGCCACAAACCTTATTTGTCATTATACCTAAATACCTCAATGGATAGGCTACTTTGAAATATCGGTCCCCGGCTACAAGACTCGCTGAGGACATATATGAAAAACAGATCAGGACGCTAAAGATGAGAAAGAATTCATACGAATGTACAGCCGTGAAGGCAGCATCTGTTGCTGAGCACTGCATCAGTTGAAGGCTCAATGTGCAAATGCACAGTATACACGAAATCCCGATTGAAGTACTCAGATTGGCAAGGAAATAGTTGGAGGCGCTGTGCAGACTTCTGTTAAAAAACACTGAGAGAATAATGTACGATTGGATGAACAGGGCAATAACGGCCAGGAGTATACTAGCTACGAACACGGCATACACCACAACACTTCCGTTGGCTTTCATCCTTTAGAAACACTCCTCTAGGTCTTCAATGCATATAGCGGTGAGAACTTATTGATAAGTGGGAACAAAGTTAACAAAATGAAGTCTGCAAATTCTTTCAAAGCTCCACGTTATTCTGCAGGATCCCAAATCCCAATGTCAGCTGCAATCAACAGAGCAGCTGGTTATGACCAGAAAAGTGGCGTATAATTTTCTTTAGATGTTGCACTGAGAACGCCTGCTGAGGAAGACTTCTAACTTCAGGTGTGGCTGCCACACAGATACTAGATGATGGCCTTGGAGCAGCCTCCTCACCAAGTGGGAGCTCTGCTGTATTTATTCTCTGCTGGTCCCTTCAACAGCCAACCTTTTCACACGACAAGGCACGGTTCACGGAAGCAGGGGCAACAAGAGAAGACGAGTCTTCTGCTGAGAGTGGGCAGAATCTCAAAGTAGCGACTTCCGTGATGGAGTCTCTCGTGGCAAGGAAAAAAATGCGACAGGACGAAGGGGAAGATGACCATGGAAAAACTGTGCCAATGTGCCCCAGTGGACGCAGTTAGTCTCAAAGTTGTGGCTTGTTGCAAGGGCCGCTCAACGACAGCCAAAATAACGACAGATTATCTCAGCTGAATACAGGGTGATCTGAGAGTCAATCAGATGTCCTGGCAGTCTGGATGGCTTAATTTTATACCAGGTTTAAGCACACGATGCATTTTGTGTAAAGATGTACAGCTCGGAATACAGTATTTCTAGTGCTGCATCGATGTTTAATGGTAAGGTTTTTAACACAGGGAACTGCGTGGTCTGCTTAAGCAACGAACAACGGAAAGGAAGACATCGAGTTTTTTTCTGAAACTGAAGAAGGTTTGGATCTCATTACCCCAAGCAGCAGAAAATAATTCCCCTTCCTCAATGCCGGTCCCGTAAGCGCGGTACTGCTTATCCTTGACAAGACAGTCTATCAGAGCCATAAGTGACACAGTGCGCCTCTGCCAAATTAATGCTTTAATGGACAGCAGAACAGCGGGGGCAGTCATTGTCAAATCTATCTTCATTAGATCGACAGAGAGGATTAGGATATTGGCTTACCGGCAGTGATCAACAGGTAAACACGGGTGCGCATACACTTGGGATGTTTCTGTGGAAAACGAAATCTTGTGTCGGCCATTTGCAAAATCAGCCCCTTATGCATGACCAGCACTAACGGTGACGGAAACAATTTTCAAAGCAGTGGGTCAGTAGTGAGACCACCAAGCATCAGCAATTTATAGACTGATCCAGTAAGCCCTGCCCCATTATAGAGCCTGCCAAGTGGGGGGATGCCCCCCGTCAAAAAATATGAGGGCACTGCCCCCCCCCCCCAGCAGCCGCCTTCTGCCGCCAGCAGCCAGCTTTGTGTTTTCCTGTTGCTGGTGGACAATCATCGCATCAATTATCCAGAGCCAGTTACACGGCCCAATTTCTAAAAGCTAAAAGCTCTCTAAAAGCCTCCCCCACCATGGTCATGATATACAAATTTAATAATACGAGCGGATAGATGGGCAGGTACGGCGTTTATCGTGTTTTAAATGATTACGCACTGAGTGCATCCTTGAAAGTGCACTTGGTTTAGAGTGCGTGCGGTTTTTCAAGAGGCGAGGTGCTTCCGTATAGAGCCTCCTCAACAATTTGGTGAGGACCAGTGAAAAGCACGCTGTGACAGTGATGTTCTCGACATATTGCCTCCGTGAGTTTGCTCAACCCCTATTATGTGATCTCATCATTAGGCATGATACCATAATTGAGGATGCCCGAAACATGATGCAATGATTTCCTCATCAAAGCTGACTATGACTTGTCTCTTTCAGAAGTTGGAATGTAAATACCTCTTGTAAACTACTTAACAACTGGAAAACTTCAATCAAGGACCAAACAGGTGCTACTTTGCAGTAAAACGTAGCAGCGTCTTTGCTGGTACCCTTAGCAGAGCTTTGATTCGTTAGGTACAAACTTCTCCCTCTAAACAGACAATCACTTTCACTGGGAAGTGGAATTACTGCGATGCAAGGCCAGGTGAAAACTAAAGGTTGTAGACAGCTTACAGACTGTGATTGAAAGACTGAGACAAGGTCATTGTTGAAAGAACGACAGGCTGCAGGGGAAGAGTTCAAATGTGCGTGCAGCAGGATAAGAGGTTGGGACACAACGAGAGGATCGATGTACACCTACACTTGCTCTCGAGATGAAGATATCAAAAGGATGCAAACTAGGAACCCAAGCAAATGTACAGGTAGGATGACACGGGACACCATGATTCTGGGGATGATGTCAGATCCTCAGCAGTGAGCCTTGTGATTTTGCTGAGGATGAAATAAAGAGCATCGGTCCGCAAGCGACAACAGCGCTGACTGGACTGCTTGAGGGCATTTTCGAGAAAGGACACACTGTCTGCTCCTTGGAGAATTTTTGCTTCACTTGGTAAGAAATGCAACTGAGGTTTGAGGTAACACTTAACAGCTTGGCAAATGGTGGAAGCTCTCTGAAACGAAGAGGAATCGCTTGTAGGTTTCACACAAAACTGACGGGATGGTACTGATCTGAGGGGCGCATTGTGATTTTTCCAACAGAATGGCAACATCTCCGACCCTTTCCGTCATGTGCTCGTAATACCTGGAAGTTGTGCTACATCAACCATTCGGACCCAGAAACCAGCTTATTCTTTGTGTAT